TATAGAATTAAAAAACTAGCAGTATTTTAGTGGACAACTTGTACAAACAGTAAGCATTGATGAATTTATAAGAAATGCGTTTTCTAAGATAAGTTTAGAATCATCTCCGACAACAATCATACTTCAACAATTTTACGTTCACAAGTTTCTAGTAATCTCGAAATTGCCAAGTCCCGCTATATTTATCACTGCTGCAATTATCCAACTTTCACATTAACATGCAATTATCTTACAATTACACCTACAAGAAAAGCGATATCTATGCCAATAACGGAATACGAAATTTGAAAAAATTCCTAATAATACACAAAACTTTATAACAACAGACAGTATTGACATGAAAATGATTTTAATTATCCCTTAGTATGGTTGCTAGATTTCTCTGGAAAACTTCTTTGACCAGTATTACTTAAAGTGCATGATGCAGCGATTCGAGAAAGGAAAACTGAATGAGGCGCCATTTTGCTTAAATCGAAGGCGAAGAATAGTCACTCTACTGATCGAAGAAAAATTCGGTTTTGTTATCTCTCGAGGACAATTAATCAGAAATATTCAGTGTTGTTTTAGAGGCATCCGTCTTTGTCAATTTTGGCGAAGAGGAAAACCTGCGAAAAAAGAAGTTTCCATACGAGCGTCGTAAATCAGCCGCGACAAACCTAACTAATGTAAGCATTTTATTTCAACCGGTAATCAAATAAGGCATATTTTACACGAAACAGTCCTGTTGTATGTACAATTTACATGGAAAGGGTTTCGGAATGGTCATATTCACATAGTGGTGTACAATGTTCAAGGCATTTTATTGCGGCACCTCGCTTTCGGCTCATTCGCAGTCCGGTCACGTTATTTCCATTGCGTGTCAAAAATACCCCGTTTGCAAGCAGCCACTACACCGACCATTAGGACGAAATCGCCCACAATTCAGGTGTTTTTATTTTTACATCAAAAATTGTCGTTTTTCTCAGGATTGTCTATTGACGTTTTGTAATCCTCTTTCGAGGACAAAGTTCCTTGATTGAGACCGTTGTGGTTGCAGCGGGAGCAAAGAGCCTCGGGGTTCCGACCAAATACACTCAATAGCTCGAATTAGAACTCAAGAAACGAGACTTACACAACTTCTAAGACTTCCACAACTTGTAAGGAATCTTCGGGAGCTATTTTTAAAAGTTACGCCCCTTACGAAAACAAAATCTCAAACATTCCTTTTTCGTAATGTTCAAATACTAAAACTATACGTCTGTTTTTTCCATTAACCTTTACGGCGTTATGTCATTATTGCACATAAAACTCTACTGTTATTGATGATAAGAATAAATCGTGGCATTTTCTCTACTCTCACTGCTTGCATGTCTACTAACTCAGCGTCTAACCATCCATAAAGTTGTAAACTTTGTAATGCTGTGATTTGAACGTGTTGTGATTTTTATGGTCGCAATGTTTTCGCGAAATAATTGGATGAGTTTTGTGATATCTGAAATTCGATCTAAAGGATTGGATGCGGATTATTGCCACTTAGGTCGTAACGACCACTACGACCTAACCACAAGATGTCTCCAAATAGAAATTGAGGATTTTCGAGATCGTATCTCGGCCCCTACATGGCGGATTAATTAAACAATTGTGCGAGCACACTGGGCAATAATAAAGGAACAACTTGAGAAATTTTTTTTACTAGAACCAAGTTTTCTCGCGGTAAAGTCGCGTTTTTTGCGCGTGATTAGCCGCAGATTTACATAAACATTCTAGGCGACACAAATGACTATTTCTCACGAAATATTGGACGACTTAATTTTTACAACATTTATTTGCCTAAAAGGGTTTTTATCTGATTGAATTTAAACGCGACGAAACAGAGTTTTATTTTTGGATAGGTTCGTTCGAGAAATTTGCATTTTTATCGCGACGCGCTGTGGGAAAATGCAGCCCTCGGAATTAAGAAATAAAGCGGTTTGCTGGGACGCTTTCGAAGATAGCTTTTACACGATAATGATGCTCATCCGAAGAATTATTTTCGAGTTTTATTTTTACGCGAGTCACGCACGAGGAAGTAATATTTACAAGCAAATAAACAACGAATGCAAGGATTTGCACCAACTGCGGATTGCATTAAGCAAACATTGTTTTCTCGAGGTTTTATGACGGGAACGTTTTGCATTTGAAACGTTTTTTTTTAATTTATTTTTTATGAAATCATTTTTTATTTAAATTAATATAAATGCCGATGATGTCTATCAATCATTTTCAAATCTCTACATCATTCATTAATGTATGTCTGTCATTTTACTCACAATTACCGTCACTCAACACACTTTTCATTCGATTTTATTTTAATTTCACGTTTTTCAGCACCGTAACTACAGCTAACAAGAGAAACTTTCATTCAAAACAATAAAATATTAATACCGTACAAAAATTACTCTTGAAATTACAGTTGAAAACATACATTAAAAGATTTACTATGAATTAGCTTTTAAATTCTTTCTGAATAAATTAAGAGAAAAATTTAAAACATAACTCAAACTTGTACAATGAGCTTCCAGAAATTCAGTGCATGCTTGAAAACAGTTCTCCACTACTATAAATTTTATAATCACGCATAAAACTAATTCTCAACGTCATACTAGTTAGAATTTCAAATGATCATGAATCGTATAATTTTATTACTCTTACAATGATATAATTCCTGCGAATCACCGGAATTCAAGATTATTTTGTACTATCAAAAGCAAAATTAATGACGTTTGAATAGTGAGGACAGGTCGGAAACGCCCCTCTGTTCCTTTTTTAATGTGAGTCAATAATGACTTTACAGTTATATTGTCATTAAAGACTTGTTTTTCTATAAATAATAAGCTTTCCAAAGAAACTAAACAATGAACATAACTGTCAAATCAAATTATGGATAATAAACTTTGACACTTTATGTATACATGTGACGGGTGCGAAGTATATAACAACTAACTGCACATTTTAAATGGCACAAAATTTCCTACTATGGAAATGTATTTTATGAGCTACACGTTCAAAAAAGATTAAAGGTAAAATGTGTGTCAACTAGTCATTACTGTAAAACTATTTACTCATAAAATACATTGCAAATTTGTCCTCCCAAACGTCAAGATCTTATAAATATGTGAACATGTCAGTCTCATTTATGAAAGAGAAAGATTCACGCCTCTTGTTGAATTACAATTACTCCTTTATTGTTTGCCTGATATAATATAACGGGAAATGGTAAAAAATGACAGTATTTTTACAATTTAAACTGATTTTAAACGTTATTAATGATACAAATGTATGATGTGTTTATGATGTCAGAATCATAATAAATTTGTTTATTTTTTTTTTGGAAAAATTGTGAAATAGGTACCTACTATTTTTTCCTTTTTAATCTACAGGTGAGTTAGTTATTTTTTCTGTGGATTTAATCTAGACTATAAAATCATTCTCTGATCTTCAATTAATCAATTATTTCGTTTAAAGAATGAAAGGAAAGTTCAACGAAATTTTTAATTAAAAATTTGTATTAAAAAAAAAAATCATGTAGATAAACTAATTCCTGTAAAATTGAGATAAACTCAATTTATGATAACATTATATTTGCAGCAGAAACATATTTTATAATTTCCACTTGAAGTTAAATATTATGTTGTCCAGTGAATTTATTCTGTTTTTGTTTTCAAAATAACTGCCCACCAAAGCAAATTTTTTTAACTTAAAATCAATAATAGAATACACATTTATCTCGATATCTTGACATATTTGCTGCAGTTCCTGCTTTTCTCAAAACTTTTCCTACGATTATTATAATTTATGAAGTTTGTTTCGGATTTACGGACGATTTAGGAAAAATAGTGGATGTATCAAAAGCCAAATTATCCTTTTACGAAATAAAAGAATCAGCTGAAGGAGTGTTGGGAAAATCCTGAACTGTTATTTCAATTGAATAGAATTTTTTAGTGGTAAATGCTACACTTCCAATGGTTTGTATGCACGGCAAATAAAACGCCTTACTGTCTATTTACAAGTTTATTGCATTTAATATTTGCAATTCGTGATTATTCCCACGCGAATGTCAACTTAATCGAAAGCCATTAGGAACATTCTCACATACAAGCAGAGTTTTATCTCCCGGATTACGATATATCGGATATAAGTTTAATTAATAGCGATTTAAATAAATTACAGTCTCGCTGCAACTTGGTTCGACTCTGACGCCATTGAAAAATTGCTGTTTTGTTCTAATTGCTCCAATGTATGCCCGAGAGAAATCAAATTCACGAGAAAAAAGCTCAAAATATGTACTTAGGTCCAGCTGCTAACAAGCTGTACGTTTTAAAGGTCCGCATGATGTAATGTTTACATTTTCAAACTAAAAATTAACACAAAGCTGTTGTGTTTGCTTGAAAATTAAAATCGTTTGTCCGGTGCATTCAAAACGTATTATATTTTCCGTTGACCAAACGTTTGAAGTTCAAAACCCCTTGCTAAAACAAACATCAATCCTGCTCGTTTTGTTAAGCCAATTACGTCGCTTATGATTTATTGTTGCTGAATAGACCGTAATTAATCTGCCCAAACTGGTCTATGCATTTTATTGAATTATTAAATTTTAATCCAATTAACCGACCACTCGAGCCGGACTTGCCCTATAGCACCTTAAACTCAGCCGGGTTATAAATTTCTTACTACCTTCCAGGGAGGAACGAATAAAACAAACAATTATTCTTTTAACAAAACGAACCTCGGGATGCTATCTAGACCAATCAGTTCTCAAATTTATTAACACTTCCCGTGAATAAAAAAATCGGTGATTTCTTTAATTAATTTCAGGAATCTGTTATTAGTGGTAACTTCGCCGATTATTAATTGCAGCAATCTATCAAGGCCGTGAAGCAATTCATGAAATATTAATGAATTCTTTGAAAGTTTCCCTGAAACATTGTTGCATAAAGTCACCGAGATTGGCGCGATTTATCCTGAAAATACGAACTTGATTGTACACAGCAACACGGCGAAGCATTTGATTGAGGGATTTAATTGAATAAAGGGGAGCCATGTCAGGAATACCAACTGGATGCATTTCATAAGAAATGCCCTTCCAGCAGCCATCCATAAAGTCCATTTTACACTCCAACAACGACCATTTAATCCAATTATTCTGTCAAAACCGAATTAATTGAACGAAATGGCTTCAGAATTTGATTTTTATTTTAATTGTGACGGGAATAATGATGAGTTTTCCGTTTGTTTCAGAGATTTACAAGGAAACAACATCACGGTGCTGTTCGAGTCGGATTTCCAGGATCTGGGGAAGCTTCGGATTTTGTAAGTAGTTCTAAAAAGTGTTGATTGATTTGGTGGGTCATCGGTGGCTGAAATTTCAGGCAACTCACTGACAACCAGATACATACAATTGAAAGAGACGCTTTTCAGGATCTTGTCAATTTAGAACGATTGTAAGTGGTGAATAATGACAGGAAAATTCTTGCTAAATTGTTTCTTTGTAGACGACTTAATGGAAATTATATACGACACATTCCAGACAACCTGTTTTCCACTACGCCTAATTTATTTCGATTGTAAGTACAAAGGAATACAAAAAACCTCTCATTATTTCACTTATTAATCAATCACTTCTAACTTACTTCCTGCTCCAGCCTCTCTTTATTAAGCTGAAAACGTTTTTTAGCAATTATACGTTATTGCATGATATACCATCAACCCTAATTATGCTAATTTCGCAATTGCCGTACTTTGATTTTGCGTAATTCATCTTCGACAACACGATTAACGTCAATATTAAGAAGTAATTTGCCCCCATCTCATACTCGTGATTTTTTCCAGGGATATCAGCCATAACTTGATATCGGTAATCGGCAGGAAGACCCTGAGGGGCATCACAACGATAAAAAATTTGTAAGTTATTTATTTGGCAAATTTCTGGCATATCAATTGATATTTTCAGACAACTTGATAATAACCGAATTACATGCATCGACGACCAAGCTTTGAGGAGCTTCAAGGACCTCGAAATTTTGTAAGTATTGAAATTCCTGAAAATTTTCACGTAGAAGATGATTTGTGTGTTTATGGTAATTTCGTGGTGGAATACATCATCTCTGGCTACCGGAATATGGCGTTGTGGTCTGTTTAGGTCAGGTAAAACCGCTCAGATGCGCCTAAGAGACCACTAAAACGTGATCAACTCATCGTGGGTATAATTCACATAGGGAAGCAAAACCGGGAGTTTCAGTCGATAAATTCCATCATCGACGCAAATATACCAATAAAAATCTCATATTACTGGCAAAATGCGGCTGAATTTCGATTTATTCGAATCGATTTACTTGTATTAAAATTACATGAGTTTTCATTTAGCGCTTTAAAGCTGTTTTACGTCCGCGAACACATCGCGATGAAACATAACGCAATAAAATGAACCGAAAGGACACATTGTGGACATACGGAAGGATAATGGCAAACAGGGTTTGTGCATTTCGAAGCAACAGGTGTATTGGTGCAACTTTAGACGATCACGTACTTATTACAAGACATTGCAATTGCAATTATATTTACTAATTTGTAATTAAAATTACTACTAGATAAATAATTCGGATAAAATCTTTGTAATTAAAAACTGGAATGAAATTTTCATTAAGTCGAAACGGTAAAAAAATGCCGTGTAATATAATCTCTAGATATTGTGTTTTGCTCTCTTTAATGAAATTTTTAATGTCCCGATTCTCCCTCGAAAGCGTCGCCTTGTTTGCGCTAATTAAACAAAAAAGCAAAAAAGCTACTCCATAAATAAATTAAGATGACTCCTTATTTCAGTATGGTATTTTTGCAATTTTTCTACTTTGCTTTTATATTCCGATTTATTAGGATCGTACAAATGTTTAACAATTTGATGAAATTTAGAAAATTAAAATTATATTGACCTCATTCTTCACTCAGCTTTATACGTAGCATTTGTGCAAAAAATGGAAAACTGTTGACCCTTCAAAGCACCAAGAAGTATTAAGTTACATTTTTTATTTTATTTTTATTTTACCATCATTTTATTAAAATTATTTTTCTGTTAAATGAGACGAAGATGAAAATTTTATATATTACAATAAAACATCAAGGATAAAACTTTATAAATACGAATTTTAAAAAACTTCATAAAAAACATAGCTAGGGAGTTTTTAATATTGTAAACGTGCATCTTACACTGTATACCACGTTTTTTTACTTTTATATTTTTCAAAATTTCCATAGCTATCGATTGTTATTATTTAATTTGTAATGTGTTAAGATTGCGGATTCTTGAAACTTTCAGCAAAAAAAAATTAATAATACGGAAATAGTATATTACATAACGAGCACGGAAAGTGATAACACGCACAAGCGGGAAAGTTGCGCACGAGGCGTTAGCCGAGTGCAGGCAATACCGCGAGTGCGTTAGACACTTTCCTGCAAGTTTTGTACACTATTTTTCCTATGACCGTAAATATTTTTTTTCTTACGAACATATTTTTTTTTCATAACGATTTATTCTTTATAATGGATACAAAAATACGTTAAATGAAAAAATATAAAACATTCGAGTGTGAATTGTGCGTTAGATTTCTAACACACAGTGCGAAAAGAAATCGCACAGGTTTTTGACCTCGTACGATATTGCCAATTTTCGCGCATATGTAATTGTGCGTTATGATTTACTTTCGTATATGGCCGAAGGAAAAGATATAAAAATCGCTTTTTTTATTTTGAAAATTTTATGTCTACTGACGTAATTATTAAAAATCGTGCAATTTCAAAAATTTTCTGTCTCGAAATAGAGCCAGTGTACTGAATCTCACGATTAATAACAATCATCAACCATGCAAGTTGGTACATAGGAAGACACATAAACGTACAAATTACTCGCTAAAAATAATCGCGTTGACTTCACAGAGAGCGCTCATCTCCTTGAGAAAAACTATCAAAGTAAAATCGTACAGACGTTCCTCCTCTTTGATGTCCACTGAATCAATTTTAATAAACTCAATTTACTGTCAACAGGACTCTAAATAACAACAACCTCACATGGATCGGTAAAGATATGTTTAGTAACATGTTTCGGTTGCGAACATTGCGCCTCAGCGACAACCTCCTCCACTGCGATTGTCAATTGTCTTGGTTGGCGAGATATTTAAGACATTCGCCACGACTTGCCCAATACACCAGATGTCATTCACCCAACCATCTCAAAGGACAAAACATCGCCGATCTGCAGGATCAGGAATTCAAATGTTCTGGTGAGTGGAACGCCGGCAGGTTAGGCAATCCCTTATACAACCTGTTGATCGACCACGCATTTCTCACATTTTCTCCGACTTTTCCTCAACCCACAAACAAAAAACGACTTTTTCGTCGAGTTTCAGAGACGAAAAAATGTTGCAGGTTTGGCCGAACGTGCCATCAATGGGGAGTGCATCAGCGAGCCTGAATGTCCGCATCCGTGCAGATGCGCGGATGGAATCGTAGATTGCCGTGAAAAAGGACTAACAAAAGTTCCGGATCATCTCCCAGAAGGAACCACAGAATTGTAAGAATTTTTATTGATTTCTTACTTCTAGCACGTGACACGAGATAGCGCTCAGTGCTGCAACTCACGACTAAAACTGAGACGGCCAAGCATTTGTACACGAGGAGGGATGGAACATGTTCAAAAAAGGGTGCTTGCTACTTTATAGCACATGAGGTTAACCGCCTCGTGGGGTATGGCAATCAAGACATACCCAGCACATAATTTTTGTTCCCGTGGAGCTGTTTCTTGGCATTGTTCCAGAAGCGCTCCCTCTTATCAAAACAAAGAATAACATTTCAATCTTTTGTAAAAGCCGACACTACGTCACCCTTTCAGTATCAGTACTTTTATTTCAAAAAATTCTGAAGAATTTTTTCAGTGCTACGAAGAACATTGACTTTTTTCTAGAATTCTAAAGCTTTTTTTCAAATTTTGGTATTTGATAGAACATTTATTTTACAGAATCTGAGTATTGTTTGAAGTAAAATAGCAAAATTCGATCTTTTCAGACGCTTAGAGCAGAACGAAATTGTGGAAATCCCCACGAAAGCTTTCGCGGCACATAAACGTTTAAGACGAATGTAAGTCACCACCAAATCCAATCAGAATTATCCTCATCAGTACTACTTTTCAGAGATTTAAGTAACAATAAAATATCAAAAATAGCATCGGATGCATTTCAGGGATTAAAAGCATTGACGTCCTTGTAAGTACCTACTTTAAATCCACCAACATTTCGATTTTTCAATCTCCATTTTTAGAGTTTTATACGGAAATAAAATTAAAGACCTCCCGGCTGGAGTTTTTCAAGGTCTGGTTTCATTACAACTTCTGTAAGTTAAATCACATCTAACGAACTTAATTACATTTTTAATTGTTTTCAGTCTACTAAACGCGAATGAAATTACGTGTATAAGAAAGGACACGTTTAGTGACTTGCACAGCTTGAGTCTACTGTGAGTCAAACGAGTTTAATAAAAACAAAATTCAGTGATTTTTTGTAGGTCATTATATGATAATAATATCCAATCACTGGCTAATGGCAGCTTTGATTCCTTGCGAAGTATCCAAACACTGTAAGCAAAAAAAAACTTTTGAAAGAACTCTCAAATGAAAAAATATTTTCAGTCATTTGGCCCGAAACCCTTTTATATGCGACTGTAACTTGAAATGGCTTGCGGAATATCTCCACAGAAACCCAATTGAAACTTCTGGTGCGAGATGTGACACTCCAAAACGGATGCAAAGGCGGCGAATTGAAGCCTTGAAGGACGAAAAGTTTAAATGTAAGGGTAAGCACCTCCACTTGATTAATTCAGTGGCAATGGTGTTCATTTTTTTAACATTCCATACATGACATTTTATTAACATATCATAAAAACAATTATTTTTCGATCAATTTTAAGAAAATTGTGATTTTAGGTCAGGAAGAATTTCGTACGAGATTTGCCGGCGAGTGTCTCATTGATAACGCGTGCCCATCTGGGTGCACTTGCGATGGTACTGTTGTGGACTGTTCTGGAAAAGGCCTCAAGGAGATACCACGCGACATCCCAGTATACACCACTGAACTGTAACAGTTACGTAAAATGAAATAAATTGCTTTAAAATTTTCTTTTTCAGTTTACTCCACGATAATGAGTTGGGTCGAATCAAATCCGATGGTCTTTTTGGACGACTCCCAAATCTAATTAGGTTGGATCTTCGACGAAATCAAATTACCGGAATTGAGGAAAATTCATTTGAGGGGGCATCAAGAATTTATGAATTGTACTTTTTTTCATACAATACAATTTGAAGTTTAATCGATTTGCATTTTAGATTATTATCGGAAAACAAATTACTAGAAATACATAATAAAATGTTTCTGGGACTTCACAATTTGAAAGTTTTATCCCTTAATAATAACCAAATTACTTGCGTCATGCCGGGCTCTTTTGACCACTTGACATCACTACACACTTTGTATTTTTTTTTAATAATTGTGATTAGAAATAAAGCTTGAATTTTTAGGAATTTGATGCAAAATCCCTTCATGTGCAACTGTCACTTAGCTTGGTTTTCCGAATGGTTGAAAAATAAAGGCCTAAGTGGGTCAACACCGAAATGTGCAGGCCCTCCAAGAGTGAAAGACGTTCTAATTAAAGAATTACCTAAAAATGAATTCAAGTGCACAAGTAAAAAAAAATTTCAAAAATAAGCAAAGCACTAATTTGTGTTTTAGGTGATAATGATCAAGGGTGCTTGGGTGAAAATTACTGCCCCCCTAAATGTTCTTGTACAGGAACTGTAGTAAGGTGTTCGAGGGCGAAACTCACAGAAATTCCCCGGGGAATCCCCCCGGAAACATCAGAGTTGTATTTGGACATCAATGAAATTAGTGCAATCCAGGCGGATCGGATCAGCCATTTAAAATCATTGACTAGACTGTATTTTTATTTTATTTTTATAATATTTTTTATAATTGAATTATTTTAGGGATTTGAGTAGCAACCAAATTGGAATGTTATCAAACAATACTTTTGCCAACTTATCAAAACTTTCAACCCTTATTATCAGTTATAATAAGTTGCAGTGTGTCCAACGTAATGCCTTAACAGGGCTTAAGTCCCTTCGAATATTGTAAAAAATCCACTTTTTTCTAATGACGGATTAAACGTGTCTTCTTGCAGGTCCCTCCATGGAAATCAAATCTCAATGATCCCCGAAGGCACTTTCGCAAATCTCAAATCCATCAGCCACATGTAAGCCCAAACCATTCCCCCCAATGGCCAATAATATTTCCAGTTTTTTCCAGAGCTTTAGGCTCCAACCCCCTTTATTGCGATTGTTCCTTACGCTGGCTCTCCGATTGGGTCAAAGTTGACTATGTGGAACCCGGAATCGCCCATTGTGCCGAACCTGCTAACATGAAAGACAAATCAATTCTATCAACTCCTTCCACAGCCTTCCAATGCAAAGGAAAAGTCAGCAACGAAATTCTGGCTAAATGTGATGCTTGTTTCACATTCCCCTGTAAGAATGGCGGGAAATGTGTCACACAACCGGAACGGGACTACGAGTGTAAATGTGCACCAGGTTATCATGGGAAAAATTGCGAATTTATGATCGATGCCTGCTATGGGAACCCGTGCCGAAATGGGGCCAGTTGCAAGGTGCTTGAGGAGGGAAGGTTCAGTTGCGTGTGTGTGGCAGGGTTCACGGGGTTGAGATGTGAGACGAATATCGATGATTGTGCGAGTAATAAGTGCCAGAATAATGCCACATGTGTCGATTTGGTTAACTCGTATCAGTGTAAATGTCCAGCAGGGTTCATGGGTAAGTCTTAATTGACTATCTACCACTTTTCAAGTTATATTTAATAAAGACTCGATTATAAGTAAGAAATAGAATTCATTTAGAATAAAAATATACAGATAAGATACCAGGAAAATAAAAAAAATGTTTAAAAAATTCTATCAAAAAATTTTGACATTTATTTTTTGACATTTGACATTTTTTTATAGCTATTTAATGATACTGATGATCTTGTATATGTTTTTTTTTTACAATTATTTAGTAAGGGACAAAAATTTTGCCAATAAAAGCCACAAATAACATTGAACAGAGTTACAATTTAGGATACAGCTTCCTTGTTTCCTCTTGTAATATCCTAGCCTATAGCAAAAAAACTTGGAAAATTATTTTTAATAAGAGTCAAAATGCAAACTTTAAACCCTCAGAAAGAACTTCGAAATTTTTATAGATTTTTATAAATAATTTCATTTGAAATTGACTTTTTTCAAACTCTTAGATTTTAGACCACTTTCTTTTTATTTTAGGCCAATTTTGCGAAACCAAAATTCCCTTTTGTACCGACCAATACAACCCGTGCAAAAACAACGCCCGGTGTGTGGACCATGATACTTACTATACTTGTGAGTGTTTACCAGGCTTTAAGGGCGAAAACTGTACCATAAATATCGACGATTGTGAAAATCACATGTGCCAAGTAACTCGAGTAAGTCGTTTTAACATTTTATAAAACCCAAATTTTAGAACGGCGCGACCTGTATTGATGGTGTCAACGAATACAAATGTAAATGCGATGGTGAATTTAGTGGTAAATTCTGTGAAATTACTCCATTGGTTGCAATGATGTACCCCCAAACTTCACCTTGTCAACATCACGATTGTGTCCATGGTGTTTGCTTCCAACCCTCGGGTTCAAACGACTATTTGTGCAAATGTGCCCCTGGATATTCAGGTTTGTCAATCTTCTTTCTGAAACAGACATAAACACTGATTTAGGTAAACGTTGCGAATATTTGACAAGTTTGAGTTTCGTGCACAACACTTCGTACGTCGAGTTGGAACCATTGAGGACAAAACCTGAAGCTAATGTCACTATAATATTTGCAACGACGCAAGAAAATGGCGTTTTGATGTACGATGGACATCAGGAACATCTAGCTGTTGAACTTTTCAACGGCCGGATCAGAGTGAGCTATGATGTGGGGAATTACCCGGTGTCAACTATGTACAGGTAACAAATACCATTCAAAATAATTAAACAAAAGAATAACCATGATATTGTTAGTTTTGAAATGGTCTCTGATGGTATATACCACGTGGTTGAGCTAATCGCAATCAAGAAAAATTTCACTTTGAGGGTCGATAGAGGCCCAGCTCGATCAATAATCAACGAAGGTTCAAAGGATTATCTCAGACTGAGTACTCCAATGTTCCTTGGGGGAATCCCACCAGAGCCAGGCCGGCAAGCCTTCACCCAATGGCATTTACGCAACTTGACCAGTTTTCGCGGTATTGTCCCTCTTAACTCCACAATTACTTTCATTTTATTTTTATTATTGTGTTTAGGTTGTATGAAAGAAGTATGGATTAACCACAAACAAGTCGATTTCGGTAACGCGCAAACCCAGCAAAAGGTTCAGCCGGGTTGTGGTATGATGGAAACTGATCGCGATGAAGAAGAGCAAGAAGACGAAATGGATGAAATGGTGAAAGAACCAGCAGCAGCACCGGTAGATCCGTGTCTTAGTCATCGTTGTAAACATGACAGTAAATGTGTGCCAACTGTTAATGGCGAGTATACATGTAAATGCAGACCTGGGTTTAAGGGGAAGTACTGCGAGCAAGGTAAGGAAGAGTGTAAGTATAACCCAAGGTGACTAACAGGCTTGGTAAGCTAATAGTGGGGAAGCTTGGGAGGCTAGGAGGCGTGGGATTAAAAATTAATTGTCAAGTAACTAATACCTAATAACGCAATAA